ACAATAATGTACATTATGTGGAAAATAATGTGTTTTTTGAACCTTAAACCGCATAAACACATTGCATTACACCAAATACACAACATAATGTTCTTTTTAGCAACGTCATATGACCCCTTTAAAACATTATTTATTGCAGTTGTAATTTTGCAGTGTAAATTATTTAATTTGATTTGTAACAGCCTCAGTGTATAGTGAATTTCTTGATCAATTGTAAGAATTTTACATGAAAGATGACGCATACAATGAGGTTGTATTAATAAGGTTAAAAAATATTGTCATTTATAAAGGTAAATAACATCCTGGGGTAAATATTAAAAACAAGATTAAGTATGTAAAAGCTGATAGAACACTGATGAAAATATTGCTTCATAATTAATTGTTTATGGTGTTTACGTGGGGATATTTCGTATGGGATATTGTCTGCTGATATGAAAAGTTCACTGTATATCATAATAAATAGCATTTTTGACAGCAATGATATTTTGTTTTCGTTTTACATTAAGGACATTAAATATTACATATATGTATGTAATATAATGTGTAATTCCATTGCAGGTTTGGTCTTAAATTTCACATAAGGTGGTATTAAAAAGTCTTAAATTTAACTTGTTCATATCTGTAGACACCCTGATTATTATTAATGATGATGATGATCAATAACAATCATTATAATAATTATTATTGACTATTATTATTATTATTATTATTTAAAAAAAATCACCATCACCAATAATATTTAACATCATAATAATAATAGAATAATAATAATCAAAAACAACCATAATAATAATAATAATAATAATTATTATTATTATTATTATTATTAAAAAATAATTACCATCACCAATAATAATATTCTTAACTTTTGTTGTTGTTGTTAGTATTATTATTAAAAATTAACTTTACAATAATAATAATAATAATTAAAAAACATTTAGTTATTAATTAAAACATTTAGTGATATAAGTATTTAATAATAAAAATACATATTGAAAATTTAGCCAAATAATAGCTATATCTACTGATCTGTATAATTCTCTGTCATAGATCAGTGGCTATATCTCATATTTGGTTCATAGCATCCTTAATAATTATCTTCTTTATTTCAGGTTGATATACGGTTTCCTCAGCCAGGTTCTGAGGACCCGAGCAAGGTTACTGTAACCGGACTGCCGGAGAATGTTGATAATGCCACTGACCATCTACTTAACCTGGAAGAAGAATATGTGAGTTGGCAATGCAGAACTGCAGATGCTTCTTTCTAGACAGATATATTCCATCACTTGTGTTTTCTTTTCTTTTGCATTATCACTCACTCATCTTCCCTCTTAGATGTTGAGTGTCACAGAGACAGAGACTATGGCATCTTATATGAAGCCTCCTTCAAAGACGATGGGGACAGGAGGAAATGACGAGGATAACAAAGCTCTAGCTAAAGGCTTTGTTGTGCGGGACGCCCCCTGGAATGCACAAGGCAACAAGGTTTAAAAGTTTGCCACTGTAAAACCTTAATTTCATGTTGTCCCTGTCATCGTCATGTTAACGATTTCCTTTTTCCTCTTTTTGCAACATTCAGGCACCAGACATGAGCAGTGCCGAAGAGTTCCCCACGTTCGGATCTGGAATAGCACCGAAACAGACGTCTGCATGGGGACCCAAAAAGTGCTGAATGAAACACATTTGTTCTGACTCCAGATCTCACATCTCTGGCACTTGAGAACAAGAACACTCTTGTCTTTCTCCTGGTGCGTTTAGTGCCCTTGGAGGAGTTACTTCATTCCTCTCCTACCTTTGCCTGAATAGTTCCTTATCATTTGGTGGATAGATGTTCTTCAACACTCCTCACCTGCCTGCAGGTGGTCACACGTCAGTTCCTGTTGTGCCAGTCTGAAATCACAGAAAGGAACCTCAAGTAGCAGTTACCGTCATTATCCACCTGTTGTTTTCTTGAGTTGGGCGACAAATGGCTAGGCATTGAAGAACGAGGCAGAAGTTTTGTATTTCTTGGACTATTTATTGCAAGAGAACCCCTAGTTCACTGTGTATAAGTTATTTTTTAAGTCCTTGATGGTTTTTACTGTTCTTGCGTGCGTGCGTGCGTGCGTGCGTGCGTGCGTGCGTGAGAGAGAGAGAGAGAGAGAGAGAGATCTATCTAAATGCACCCAGTTTGCTGAATTTTCATTTGACACTGTAAGAGAGATGAAGGCTGGTCAATACTGATCTTTTTAAAAATATTTTCTGTATATATTAGTGTATTTATACGTCTGTTATTTATTGATTTTCTTCAGTGACTGAATATTCAAACTCTGATGAGTGTGAATGGTTTTGAAGCATAAAAAGTATTAGGTATTATTTTGCAATATGCTTGGTTTCTTTTGCTTCAGGAAAATATTTTTTTGTGCGTGTCTTAGTCATAGTTCATTTTACACAAGAAGTGTGTGTGTGTGTTGTGTGATTTACTTTGAATCTCAAGATTTTGTCTATGAATCTGGTGTTTATATTTGAAGTATTTTCCACTTCACCTTTGTCTTTAACTTTTCCAAAGCGCAGGAAATGAAGATTTCCTTTTTCAAACCAGAGCATGCATGAGAAACTTTCAAGATTTCAAATTGAAAGTCTCTGGAAAGCTGTTTATTAATATAAAATGTCACAGTAAAAGATTATAATTAAAGCAACTGTTTTGTGTATTTTGCGACTTTAGAGCCCCCTACAGTTAAGTGAGTGGAATCCACTGTCGTAATTACCCTGGGCTTGAGTGTTGATGCTCTTTATGCGGTACAAACTTACATCCTCCAGAACACAAGTTTAGGGGAAGCGTGAGAAAGAAACAAGCCAGTGTAGTAGCAGAATTTCAAGGTAAAAAAAAAAAACTTAGTTGCTTTAACATGAATGACAAACTCATGCAGATTGCTGGTTCTCAGTTTGCATTTATTTACTTAGTTGATTGGTGTAATTTTTTATGTTAAATTAATGTCTTCATTTACAGAGAGAGCTGTAAGCAGCCATTCATAGGTGGCTCTGTGGCGCTATCAATACATTTCAATGCATTGCTCTGTTTGTTTGAGCATCACAACCAGCCTGTTACAGCAACATTGGCTCAACCAATGGCATGAGTTTGTTCGGATGACTAATAATAGAGGGGGAAGTATTGCATGAAGCTTATTATTTTTTGCAATTCCATGTGGTGGCGCAGAAACTAGTTTTAAGAAACACCTTAAAATTGGGATGTTTTGACATTGAGGGTCATTCCCTGTCCTGCTAGTTGAGTCCTGTGAATCACTGTTGTATGTGGTGTGAACGTATGCTTGTGTACATAGTTGAGTGAAGAACCATCTACAACCAACCGGTGATAGAAACACTATCAGCCTTAAGAAGTTATTGCCATAGGATATTTTTACCAAGATTTGATGACATTGATATGCAACACTGCAATAACATGTCAATTATATATATATATATATATATATATATATTTATATATATGGGTCATTATTTTTGCACTATGGTAATGATAGAAATATTTTTAATTGACATGAAATTTCATGAGATTGAATTAATGGAAGACAGACACATTTTCCATGTGCATAACGGTGATAGAAACACTATCAGCCTTAAGAAGTTATTGCCATAGGATATTTTTACCAAGATTTGATGACATTGATATGCAACACTGCAATAACATGTCAGTGACAGAACTTTCCTACTCCGAATAAAAACCCATTCAAATAAAAGGAAATGTATTTTTGCTTTTCATTATTTCTCAGGTTTTACCTAAATGTCAAAAAGTGAGAAAATAAGGTCATGTTTATAAAATAGATAATCGGTTCAAACATAATTAAATCTAGTTCGATAAATTGTATAATTATATATTACATAAATAGTATAGGCCTACATATGTTTTTAATATATCAATATATTAATATTTATTAATACGTTTATTCAGCATAGACACTTTAATTTGAGCAAAGGTCAGAAAGACATTTCCAATATTTCAAAAGATTTTTATTTCAAATATATGCTGTTCTTTTGAACTTTGTTAATCACAGAACCCTAAAAAATTTATCACCATTTCCATTATATATATATATATATATATATATATATATTTATAAAATATGTAAGAAATCATCTTTCTTGACACTGAAGACTGGAGTAATGACTGCTGAAACTTCAGCATTGCCATCACTATCTATATACATGTGTGGGTGTGTGTGTGTGTGTGAGAGAGAGAGAGATTTGTAATTGTCATAAAATGTAATGAATTAATGGAAGACAGAACGCGATTTCCATGTGCATAATTGTCTCTTTTTTGGATTTTTATTTTCTTACAAACCAGGAAGGTAATGTTAGTGTTATGTAACAGGCTGTACAACACAACGTAAAGACATAAAAATAACACAAACGTGAACAAATAATAAAAATAAAAAAAAGCAGCAATGGGCCGACACAAACCCTGTGTTTTCACATTTTCCGATTTATATAGCAAGCATTTATTCAGACATCGCCCTTGGCAATAAAACAGGATTGCTAATGCAAGATGTCAAACAAATGGATAGATATGCCTTCACAGAGGGTACTGTAAATCTAGATACAATCAAAAGAGAGTTGATTTATTTTTTTTTGTTGCTGTTATTTTTCCAGCAAGAGCTTACATTTGTGCAATCTTAGTCATAAGAGAATACAAAAACAATGGCAATATATCTAGCATGGAGTAAACAATCTATTAAAAACAAATCACATTCCCAGTGTAAACACCAATTCTGGAGTCAGGGATTCGAGTAGACAACTTCCCACAATTCCTCATGAGTCCAGGCACATCTACCCGATAGCTGAATAAACACTTGAATAGGATGTTGAACGCAGAACATAAACAGACCTTTCCATTCAGTTTTTGTACCTGCCACCATTCATTTCAGAAACACTTACATCCTGGTTCTTACACTAAAGTTTGTGAGTAAACAAATGGGCTCAACAGCACACGTTACTTCAGAACAGAAGACAAACTCGAACATAACCTATGTGCAAACAACATCTAAAGCAGTGAAGCATTTCAAACAGAAGACAAGAACTTCCACAGGTGACTGACCTTAAATAATGGACGCGCATTTGGCCAAAACGGACACGCGAATACACGCATAGCCTCATAAACTCTCTTCTCCAGGTCTTTTTAGAGTGCTTGGGTGGGAGGGGCGAAATTATGTTTGTATGCATCCATCCAGTTAAACTATGTACTTTTGTCACAATATAGGTCACATGAAGTGATTTTAGTGGTATGATGGGTTAATCGGAAGAAATGTGAGTTCCACTCCAAAGATGGTTACAGTTATATGTGTATTCACCAGAAAAAAATCTCGCCTTCTCGTCTTTATGTAGCCATTTTAATCCACTTTGCATTTGACTATACACTGTATTTACTGTAATTAGTGAATAAATACACAGCTGTAAGAACCAAAAACAGAGCAGAATCTGTAAACAAAGTAAGCGATGAAATAACAGTAACACTGAGTTTCTTCCTGATTAGGTGATTTCGCTGCATCTTTTATCTTGTTGACATTGTCGTCTTGGTTATTTCCAGGTTGATTTGTCCGTTGCAAGTCTTAAGAAAAACACAAGTATAAATCCAGGGCTGTGCTATGAATAGGTGGTTTTGTGTTGCTTCAGTCCAGTTTTATTTCTGTGAGAACAACAGGCTCTCAAAGCAAAAAACCGAGGGGGGGAGGGGGTGATACATAGATTTAGATGTATGAAGAGACAGAAAAAATAATGGAGAGCCTGCTGAGTGACGGAATTTAATGAGAAAGACTAAAAATCGCCCACCAGTGTCCGAAACATAAAGTGCAGGCAGTGTCTTTGTCTCTGGGTATTATCATCACCCTCCTTCAAACACAAAAAGTATGTCTGAAACATGCAAAGATGAATGAGATTGGGCAGCAAAATAATGCTTAATCCTCAACGTGGGGGGCTGCGCTCAAATTTGGTTGATAGTGAGGAAGATAATGCCTCGAGTCTCTTTTTACTCCACCCGTATGAGCAGGCCGTACAGAAGCGTGCCTCCTTTTTCCTTGGTGATCCAATCGATTTCTGCATTGCTGAATCGAGGGTCAAGGGGCTCGCTGATTCCCAGCGATGTCGGCCCCACTTTGTAGGAGCCTGGCCGCACGCACACCTGGAAGCCCACCTGGGCCTGGTGACAGCGGAGGGAACGTGGGTCTCGGAATCTGTGCAGAAAAGTGTAACTGTCATCATTTTCAAATTCCATTTCTAGACAATCGTGTTATATTCTCTCTGGTCTTTTTCTCTAGAAGCACCGCTGTTGACTTACTGCACTTTGGGGGCAAAGACCTCCAGGCCCGAGTAGCGCATGGTTGGAGAAAGCTGCACACGGGGAATCTCTCGCTCTGGGGCGCTATTCTCCTCGGGCTCCCCGTAGCTGCCGTGACCCTCTGTCTTCACCGGGGACAAGGAGAAAATGGAGGACGATTCTGCTCATGGGAAAACAGAGAAGCTCAGCTGTGCAGATATATTCTGATCTCGCTCTAGCTAATTCACACGTTCATGCATTTCATTATCAGATGATTTGCTGCTTGGCTTTTTTTGCCATTCATCTTGAGTAAACAAAAAGAAAAGAAAAAAACTGGAACAAAACCTACTGTTTAAACAGATTGAATACCAAAAACATAGCAAATAATGGTATTTAATATATTGATGAGACATAATTAAAAAAAAATTCTATACAGTTTTCAATACAATACAACAAATATTACAATATTAATAAATAACATTTTAATATTTCATAAATAACTATTTATTTACTATACATTTAGTTATTATAGTTGTATTATATATATATATATATATATATATATATATATTGCACTACCGTTCAAAAGTTTGGGGTGGGTAAGATTCGTTTTATGTTTTTGAAAGTCTCTTATGCTCAACCAGGCTGCATTAATTGATCAAAAATACAGTACAAACAGTAATATTGTTAAATATTACTACAATTTAAATGAACTGTTGTCTATGTTAATAGATCTTAAAAAGTCACATGATCCTTCAGAAATCCTTCTAATTTACTGATTTGGTGCTCAAGAAACATTTCTTATTATCACAGTGGAAATCAGTTGTGCTGCTTTATATTTTAGTGGAACCCGTGACACATTTTTTTAGCATTTGATTCAAAAACAGTTCTGTTTCAAATAATGTAAATGTATTTACTGTCACTTTCAATCAATTTAATGCAACTTCGCTGAATTAATTAACTTAAAAAATATATATATTTCCAAATATCTAAAGGAAAAATTATTTTCAAATGATAAAAATTTGCTTAGCAGTTACCAACCTGACAAGAGTTGATTATGGTCCAGGATGCGTCTAAGGGAGCCGACACTAGTGCCATGGTACGCAATATGCCACTTCTTGAAGGCATTAGAGACTTCACAGTGGGT